GTGACAAGCACTCTCAATGGTCGAAGTGCATGTCAAGCCACATTGCTTCTATTTACCTGACGATGTTGAATGTCACTTCAGGCCCCACGGATACAGGTTTCCTGAGTCTGGGCGACAACAGTCCTTGACCGACGCGCAACAAGTGACACGTCCAAAAACAATAACGCGAGAGATAATTAAAGGACGCATCTTCGCTATATACTATGAGTCCTCATTCAACCACGGTGAGGAGGTTCAGCTATGGCCTCTTCCGCTTCTTGCGCATCGGGATTGATTTCTCATTCATTCAGCCCTGTGCTATTAGTTGAGCCATCCTCAGATGCATTCTTAGACTCAGGTTTCCAGGCATCAGTAGGTTCGCTGCAGCCAGCGCTCTTGATCATCTGCTAAAATCATAGGATACTTTTTCATACATCCCAGGGAGAGTCTCGACACCCTCCCCGAAAAGCCTCCACCAACCCTGAGATGCGTCGGGTCTGACCGCAGAAAGACTTGGGTTCTTTTTGAGTCGGCCTAAGAGGATGACTTCATCGCTTGGTGGCTCAGCACCGAATATGGTCGACAATTAAACAGGCACGGACGGTGTCAGATCAGATGGTTAGTTGAGTCCCATTCCGTGGAAGGTTTGGAAGCAATTCGGCCAGGTGGCGGATATACATTCAGGTCGACCCAAAGTTATTTGCCGGAATTTGTATGACATTGCTAGATCACCTGCAACCTAAATCACATGGGATGAGTGCAATGGGAAAATACTAGAGATCTAGCTCCTGCTGCAAGGGCAAGAAAAAGGCCTCACAGCAATCTCTTATCTCAGACTTAATCTAAAGCACTCCAGCTTCCTGTTCTAGTGTAAGTAAGTTCACAAAAGGGCAGCTGGTGGAACAACTCTTGAAAACTATAACATGCTTGCGGCTCCCCTTCTAGCTTGTGGAAGATCCTGAATTCCAGAGACTGCTTAACTTGGTCCGCTCTGGACCTGTTACGGTCTTTTCTTCCATGCACTTCCCTTTCTAGTTTCCTTGAGGTTATACCCACCTGACATATTCCCCTAAGAGAAGTGGTTTCTTTCTGCTATAAAATCAGTGGCGTGACTTGATTAGTTGCGCAGCTTGGTGTTCCCCTCTTTTAGGCAGCATGAGATGCATATCTCTTGCATGGGTCCTTCAGCTGATGAGTTGTCTGTCACGGGCTAGAAGCCTTAGAAACCTATGACCTAGGTTTGGACGGTAAGAAATCGCTGAGGGAGAAATCTAGCTAGGGGCGCGGCGGCCAAACATAAAAGGAGTGTGCGAATGGTTCTCGCGGTCACGTGGCCGGCAGCTGGTGTCCAGTTTGGATATGACTTCGCGAGGGCCGTACAATTCGATCAGACAGCCCGAGCACCCAGCGGGCCCTGCCCGCTACATTGTCCTCGTATTCAATTTCAAATCATTGATTACGCTCAACAAGGACTTAGAAGTTTCTTAGGGAGGCTATATATTAAATAGAATGCTTCATGAAGGATTCTTGAGGGTTCCTCAAGAAACAGTCTTGCCATAATTTGACTTGGTACCTTCTTCCTTACCTGACTGACAGGCCTTCTACCCTGCACAGTAGACACCTTAACAGGACCCCAAGGAGAGGAACTCCCATCTGCAAAGACACCTCGTCGACGACTGCGTTGAGCCTGTGATTAGCCAACAAAAATTGCAACTGAGGGATCTTCCCGAAGACGTGAAAGGTCTCTTGCCTTGGACTGTTGGACCAGCCCATTCCAGCAAGCTTTCATGGCTATCACTGTCTATTTCGTTGATAGATAATGGAATTATAGAGAGCTCCTCCTTGGCTTTGAGCCTTTGCACGGCCCTCATTCGGAGGTTAATCTGAGCGACGTCCTGCTACTGTTGCTGCGAGAACACGGGGAGGGCTAAGCCACCCAGAACTTCACGGGACACTGGTGCTCATGCTGTTGAGCAGTCTCATAATAGGCGCCCGGGTCATCGACATTACTCTCCATGTTTTCGAATATCTCCGTGTCTTTTAGGCTCGGTATTAGGCAAGACGATCCCTTGAAACTTTGTGCGATCGGACGTTGAAAGGCATTCTCCAAAAGCTCCTATGCGTCACGGACATCTCCAAATCTAGCGAGAAATTGCTTGCGCAGTACACTACTAGCAGAAGATGGATGACTGGAGGAAGCCCGGTTGCGCTGGCTGAGTCTTCGAAAAGCCGCCATGTTGCTGAGGCGAACTCTCTTCATATATCAGACTTGGAAGTTACTACTGGCGAAAAAGCTGCAGTCAGAGGCAGAGGGAATGGTGGCTCTGCACAAGCGAACGTCAACGTTGAACATTCCAAGGGAATTAAAACGTCCTATGAAGGCGCTAGAGTCATCCATGGACTCGTCCTAGGATCCGACTCGGGTGCAATCCGTACGATACGTGGTTCATCAGCGAAAATCTTGTGAATATGTGTTCATGCCGACCCCTACCTGGTTTAGTAATGATGAAATGAAGATGAAGAGTACCTTAAGATCTCTACCTTAGGCAGGATTGACAGACGTTGTCTGACATATAGCAGCACATTTTTGACTTAGGCCCAAGTTTCTATTACATTGCAGCGAAGGATCAAATTAGCAAGCTAAGCTTGATTGCGTTTAAATCATGTCCTAGCAGAGAGGATTGTCTTTAACTGAAATAACGCAGCCGGCTTAGTCGGCTACTAAATAGACATAGAAACAAGGGTGAGACAGATAGAAGTCAGCAAAATTATGTGGTCTTCACTCTCTACATCTCACTGGACAAATTTCAGGTCCTGGATGAAGCAGTTGCTCCAAATCAGTCACATTTCTGCCATCCACTCCGTCAAATTTCTTCTTAGACTTCTGAAAAGCCTCTGAGTCCATATGTTTTTCAAAGAACTCCAGCATCATTGTAATTTCCGCCGGGGACAACTGCTTATAATCTTCACCTCGCCACTCGAGCTAAACTGGCGGTACACTCCGTCGCTAGCAAGGTGGGAGAAGCCTTTGCCCGATGGCGAGCGTTTAAGGGATGGCCAGGCCTTCGATGCCTCTTCGTCTTTCTATTGCAGTGTCAGTATCGTACAGTGCAAGCTGTCAGAAATACTCTTACTATGCAAGACATGATTTAAGTGATCTGTCTGTGTGATATAATGAAACTCTTGATTGTATTGTATAATAGAGAGAGCGTAGTTGAAAGAGGGTGAAGACTTCTCTAAGAGGCGTGGTGAGGGGAAGCTGATACTCGAGCTAATGCAGAGAGGAAATGGTGATGTTGTGAGAGCATCCATGAGATGCTCTCTATCGGATGGTAGATAGCGTGGTAGTAGCAATGCCTTCGTAGTTGAACTAATCGCTGAGGTGCGAGCATCTCTCGCACCTCAGCGGAGACGATATCTCCATGGATCACGTGCTACCCACGTGACCACCCGCAGTTCGCTACGTACATGTTCTTTGCGTCTAACAGATGTGATGACTAGTGGTCACATGCGCCGAAAAGGGGTATAAGAGCTACTCTGTGATATAGTTTCCTTGTAAAATGCATGACCAGTGTTCAGGCCCATATGTCACGTATGCGTACTATAACCTTGATTGATTGATTCCTTACTCCGTTTCGGCGCCGGGCTGGGCCATGCCGTGAGGCTCCTAGTGAGCGGCGACTATCTAGCCTACGGCCGTCTTTGCAGACTGACGCCATCGGCATACATATATATATTTCTCAGGCACCTAAGCTAGGCCAAACCCTCATATCTGCCCTCATATCTGCCCCCGTTTGGCCCCGGCCGAAATTGCTGAGTGCTGCTACCTTGACTCCCTCATATATCCATCCATCTTGGCCGGGGCCGAAATCAGTGAGTGCCAGCTACCTTGCTCCCCCGTAGAAGCCCTCCTGCCTAGGTGCCCGTACACGCCCAATCTGCCTAGATAGCCGCCTACCCGTTCGGATGTCGCAGATTCCCAAGCCTGCGAGGGTTTCGGGGGCGTCACCACCAAATCGGTGCCGGTTGGGCAAGCCGATTCCGCGGGGTGCGCGGGTCAGGGCCGCGGGCGGTGGCGCCGTACCGGTGGGAGTGACTAGTAGTATGCGATAGTATGTGATAATAGTTTGTCAGCCATCGCCTGCTGGGGCTGTCAGCGGCTGTGCGCTGCTGGGGGCGCTCAGCCCAAGCCATGCCGGCTCAGTGGCCTCCGCCAGATACGTCAGCTGGCCAGTGTTCAACATGAACCTCACAGCCCGCCGCACGTTCTGTTTCTCCGTCAAGGCTTCCACAAGGCTTCGGGGGGCCCCTTCCGGCCACGCCGCGCGTCGAAGGTCGTCATATCGGGTGCAGCTGAGGAGCACATGGTGAATCGTTTCCGGAGCCCTTCTACATGGGCAAAGGGGGTCGTCAGCTCGGTTGATAGTAGTAAGATAGTGATTCAGCCTGATCTTCCCAGTGCGCATCTGAGCCAGAACACTGCGCTCCACGGGGGTGAGGTCGTCGTAGATCGTAATTGAATGTCTGGTGACCTCAGGGAGGAAGCGCTGGAGGTGTCCACCATGCTTAGACTGCCGCCAGGCCTCCTCCCATTGTTCTTTGGTGTGCTGCTTAATCCAGGCATCCAGGGGCCCGCGTGTGGGGTGGTCTGGGAGCATGACCGGCGGCAGGGGCCCGCACTGCCCGTTAGTAAGGCCTGCCTTTGGGCCCCACCCCCACCAATCAGAAGGCGCCGACCCCGGACCTCTGAGGCTTGGCCACCGGCCATCCGCTGACGACGACCCTTCGAGCAGAGCGGTCACCTGACTAGGGCTCCGCCCCGTCTGGCGGCCTCCCTGCGCTGGGTCAGGCTATTCGTGGACTATACTCCAGCATCTCATACTTTTACATACTTTCTCATACTACCTTACTCTCATACTTTCCACTGGGGCCCAGTTGTCCCGAAAGGCGATATCATGGCCCAGTGGCCGGCCCTAGCGGCCGGTGACGACTCTTCCATTGCTGATCATTCCTTTCGTTTCATGGTGCACTGCACGGAGGTTATCAAATTCACTGAGGCTCACCCAGGCAGATCCGCAAAGGCTCCCTGGGTCGCGGGCTTTGCCCAGCAGGCCCGTGCCCTAGTCACGAAGCTGCTGGATAGCCGATTCCGTGACGCGGTAGCCGGTGACCACAGCACGCAGAACAGGGCCCCCGGCACGAATGGCGCGGAAGCCGGCGAGCATGGCTCGGCCACCTCCTCATCCATGACTCCCGGGGCCCGGGGGGTCCTTGGCTGGACCCAGCAGGTGCCAAGCAACCCATCATCTTCCTCCCCTGAACGTCACCTCCCTCCCTTATTGCCCCCCTCCTCTCCCCCCGCCGCACCCCCCCGCAATGACGAGAACCGCATCCGGATTCGGTGGCGCGGGCATGGAAACGGCCCGGCCGCTAGCCCCTATAAGCGAACTGCCGCTACGGCAATCGTGAATGAGATACAGGGAATTCTCTCCCGCAGCAGCCTCCCTGGCCTAGCCAGCGTGCAGGTAGCTGGGGCCCAGGTGCTTCGTAGCGGCGATCTTGATGTGTATACCCATTCTGCGTCAGACCGGGAGCGCATGAAGAGGCCTGGCTCCGGGCGTTGCCTAAGGGCGAGCATGCCCAGATCACCAATCACCAGTACGCTGTCCTCGTCCACCATGTCCCCATTACCTATCTCCCCTCCCAGAGCGCGGTGGAACGCCTCCAGGAGAAGATCTTGCACTGCAACCCAGCACTCCGCGGCCCCATATTGCATGTGGGCTGGTGCGGGAATGACGCTGCGGCCCGACAGAGCAAGCAGATATCTTCCCTGGTGGTCTCCTTCCGGGATGCGCAGTCAGCGAACCATGCCATTCGGAACCGAATCTTTCTGGATGGCACTCCGCTGCGCACAGAACTATTTGACCCGCTCTGCCGGCTCCTACAGTGCACCCGATGCCTAAATTATGGACACGCCCAGCCCGTTTGCACAGCTGAAAGAGTTACATGCCTGTATTGTGCTAACGCCCACGACAAGAAATTCTGCAAGGTCAAAGGGGTCCCTTCCCAACACCGCTGCGCCGTCTGCCATGGCCCTCACCAGGCCGACAGCAAGCAGTGCCCTGTACGCCAACATGAACACCGACTATCCCATGCTCG